CCAGTGTAAGTTGGGTTGGATCTCAGCTTTCTCATGTCTGCTAAATCAGTTACCACTCATCCATCTATTTTTCAGCTTCTAAAATTGTGTTGCTCTTTTCTCCTCTCCTGTTCTCCTTTCCTTATGGTTTTACGACTTAAAAAAAGAAAGAAAAGGAATAGAAAAGAAAATCTGTTTAGTGCAGTTTTGGGATAGGGCAAAATTAGTAGCATGCATACTATCTGCCATCTTAGCCTGGAATCCACCCATAGATATACACATAGCTAGCTGCCTCCTTTGTGCCCTTCCTGCCTCAACTTAAACATTGCCTCCTCAGATCGGTCTTTCCTGACCACTCAACCAAAATTTGGCTCCCATCATCACAGCACTTATTACTACTGGGTCTTTTCTTTTCTTTTTTGAGATGGAGTCTCATTCTATTGCCTAAGCTGGAGTGCAGTACTGTGATCTGGCTCATTGCAACTTCCACCTCCCAGGTTCAAGTGATTCTTCTGTCTCAGGCTCCTTAGTAGCTGGGACTACAGGCATGCGCCACCACGCCCAGCTATGGGCATTTTCTTGTGTATTGCCTTTCCCCCCCCCTCTAGAATATAACTCCATGAGAACAGGTACTCCATCTCTTTTGTCCATGCTACACGCTCAGCTCCTAAAATAGTACCTGGCATATTAAAGAAACTCAATAATTGTGCTTGGCAATGATATTTTGAGAATCAAATGATCTTCAGCGCTGTGTGTGACATACCCTGGGCAAAGCAAAGAAAGACGACCACTCTTGAAGAAGGAACAGTGGGTATACAGAGCGTAAGACAGAGCCTGCGTGCAAGTTCTGCAGAGTATGAGGAGCAAGAGAAGCTGCAAAGAGCAGGAGCAGAACAGCAGCAATCTGGAAACACCTGCACTTGACAACCATGTCCTTGGCTTGAGTCAAGGTCATCCTAGGTTTCTGCTGAACCTCCAAGATAAGCTCTGCTGACAATCTAAAGGAGACACTCCAGAGCAAAAGGGGACAGGGAGGAAGGGAAACAGGGGGAAAGGCAGACCTTGCTGGTGTCTCTGCCTCTTCTTTAATTGCTTAAAGGAGTAGAAGGCAGAAGAAGGAAAATAAACCTGTGAAGCTTCAGGGAAGCAGGGAGGACAGTGGAAAGCCCTGTTCTATTGCTGAGCTGTGTGAGGTCATGTGACATTTGGAGTGGAAGCTACTGCCTCCCATTCTATGTACCAGGAGTCCTTATTATCAGACAGGTGCACCTTAGATGACATTCACAGCCCTGGAAGTACTGAGCCTCCTGTGACCTTCACTTCATTAAAAAAAATTACAAGTGTTTACTGTAACTAATTCACACAATGCAGATTCTTGTGAAGTAAATAAAAAAGTTAACCTTCCTTTCCAGTAGTGTCAACTTTTAGCTCAACAGATTGTTTAGTTTCTTTCCTTCTTTCTTTCTATCTTGGCTTCCCTCCTAAAGATCAGCACTTTGGGAGGTTGAGGTGGGAGTGTTGCTTGAGGCCAGCAGTTTGTGATGAGCCTAAGCAACAAAGCAAGACTTTGTCTCTACAGTAAAAAAAAAAAAAAAAAAAAAATTAGCCAGGCATGGTGGTGCATGCCTGTAGTCCCAGCTACTTGGGAGGCTGAGGTGGGAGGAAGGATGGCTTGCGGTCAGGAGTTCAAGGCTGCAGTGAGCTATGATCTTGCCACTGCACTCTAACCTGGGACAGAGCAAGAACTTGTCTCCAAAATAAATAAATTACTTAAAAATAAATTAATTAGGGCTGGGCGTGGTGGTTCATGCCTGTAATTCCAGCACTTTGGGAGGCCGAGGCAGGCGGATCACTTGAATTCAGGGGTTCAAGACCAACCTGGACAACATGGTGAAACCTCATCTCTATTAAAATGACAAAAAAATTAGCCAGGTGTGGTGGTGCGTGCCTGTAATCCCAGCTACTCGGAAGGCTGAGGCAAGAGAATCTCTTGAGTCCAGGAGGCAGAGGTTGCAGTGATTCGAGATTGAGCCACTGTACTCTAGCCTGGGCAACAAAGCAAGACTCTGTTTCAAAAAAAAAAAAAAAAAAATTAATTGAAGAAGGCAGTACATTCACATGGTTCAAAATTCCAAAGTGTCAGAAAAGTAGAGCGAAAAGTGTCCCTTCTTCCCTAATTCTGTAGCTACATCTGAGGTTTCCTCTTCTGAGGCAACCAGTATAAACATGTCCTTGTATCCTTCTAGAAATATTCTCTGCCCATCCGAGTTTTTCACTGGATAGTACTGAATAGTAACAGAATTACTCAGAGTACATGCACAGGCCTTTCCTCGAAGTGAGCCAAGGCTAGGGGTTTGCCTCTTCATCTTCTTTCCCAAAGAAATGGCAGTCACAGGAGTCAGTGTGACTTGGGGGTGGGAGGGATTTCCTCTTGGTTCTCTGGCAGATCACTGAGAGTGAAAAGGAGCTGTGGAGGGGGTAGGATGTGGTCTGCCAGGTGTCAGGTGCTTTTTATTTACAACAGAACTCTTCTTGCAATAAGGAGGGATGACTGAAGAGATGGTATAGCTATGGCAAAAGAAATCATAGCTGTCATTTGTGATAGCAGACAAAGTTTCAATAAAGGGCCTTCTCTAAAGAGGACATCGTGTGGGATGTAAACTTGGGAGAAGAAAGCTGTTTTATGTAAGTTGCCCAAGGTATCCCTTCATACAATTGAGCCACTCCAAAGCTGAATCGTAGGGGTCCAGAAATCAAAGTGGGAGCAAACAAGAGAGCTGGAGGGCTCCCAGGTGGCTTTAGGAGATTGACAGCAATGGGGTGGGGCAAAGTCTGGGGATTCAATTAGACTGGATCTCATGTTTGATTCTAAAGGTAGAATACCTTCAATGAAGCATAGGAGGGAGGAGCTGGCAAATCTGGAGGATCCACACAACAAAAGATTCAAATAAACCTATTCAGCGAAGGGACAGTTTTTGAAAGAAAACTGGGAGAGGCAGAAGGGTCTGAAGGCAAATTATCTGGGCTAAAATACTTCTTAGTAGTGTGAACTCGGGCAAGTTAAACTCCTTGAGTCTCAGTTTCCTAATATGGATAAGACACAGAGAGGAACGATAACTGTCTCTCATTGGAGTGCAGTATGATCAAGTTAATCACCAATGAGTGTTGAGAACAATGCCTGGCACCTAGTCAGCTAACTCAATGCTTTTCAGCCATGACTGTTTTAATAAAGGCCTGCTCAGGCCTGTTTCCCTGGCATAGACATACTCGGTGATGAATCTGGAAAGGCAGAATCAGAGAGGGATTTCAGGTCGTAATAAGAGGGGAAAAACGGAAGGAAAAGGGAGTGAACAACAGCACAGCAAAAACACACCAGAAGAATGAGAAAAAAGGATTCAGAATGGGGCTATTTCAGCAAAAACAGCCTTGTTGCAGGTCCACGGTGTTCAAAGCTACACTGTGTAAGGGAATGTCTCTTGGAAATTAAATGTCTCTTGGAGAAAATTTAATTTCGGTTGAAGAAGTATTTTGTGGGTGTGGGTGTGTGCCCACTTAGAGCTCAAAGTATATTGCCAAGGAGGGTGGCCAGGTTGCATACAAGGAAATCAAGATCTATAAAAAGTCAGGCAACTTGAGATCAAGTCCTAGCTCTGTCCTAAGTGGCTGATGCTACACTGAGCCAAATCAATCAACAACTGTGTCATTTAAAAAAGCGGCCAGACTATTTCCTAGGCTCTACATGCATGTAACATTTTCTGATGCTAACCCAGGGGCAGAGACTCAAAAGAATTTAAGAGTTGTTTCCCTCACCCCTAAGCCCCTCCCCTCAAAAAAATCCGTTAAAACTAAGCATCTGGTGTTCCTTTCATTTTCCCCAGGTCCCCTGCCAAAAGGAGCAAGATTTCTAAATACTGGCAACTGGAGAGAGCTACCTCTTTTATTTTTTCCCCATCCATTTCAGGAAAGTTTAGGTTTTCATTTTTTTCCTATGGTCTGCTTAGAGTTGTTTCCAGCTTAAAGTAGGAAGAAGTAATGAAAAAAGTGAGATTTGCCGAAAGGAAACGAAGCTTGTTTTGCCTGGTTCTCTGGAAGGAGGTTAAAAAGGTAGACCACGGTTTTTCAGGTTCAAACTGCTACTCTAACAAACATTGTCCTACAGGGTGGAATCCAGTTAACCGGTATTGAGATTCATTCGCTAAGGCCTCAGGACACTGGACATTCTTTTTAATTTTTTTAATTTTTATTTTTTGATTTCCATGACGACAGCTCACAAGACACTAGACATTCTTTTAGGGTCTCAGGTAAATGGGCAACACGCAGTCTACAAATCCTCAAAATAAATCGCATCTCAATTCGGATACTGGGGCTAGGGAATGTGCTGGTGGTAAAACCATTGGTCCTGACTGTGTGACCTTCATGGGAGGCCTGGGTGCTTAGAACAAATATTTTGAGGATATGGCTGCTTGCCCAAGGGCTGTGGGCCTGCATCTTGTTTGCTCATCATCCTGTCAGTCATTTTTTTCTTTCCTTTTTTTAAAGACAAAATCTGAACTTAGAAACACCGAAGCCAGAGCTTTTTCTAGATGCGAAGCCACTATTTGTGCGACCCTGCACTAACGATTCTAGTCTGGCCTAGACCATACCAAGTACCCTACAGCTAGCCTGGAGGGGTCCGCACTGCGGGGAGAAAAGCAACAGCTCAGCTCCAACCCCAAAGGTTCCATCACCAGCCAATCGTGGCCCGGAGCTTCTCAAGAAAACCAAAGACGCCTACGCGTAGTGAATGGCACTAAGGCCAGCCTATCCGCACGAAGGAGGCGGAAGGGGTGGGGTTGAAATTACCCAATAGGATGGAAGTAGTTGTTGTTGGGAGGGAGGAAGACGCCAACTAGCGTGCGTGAGGCCGCTCCCGATAGGGGATGCAGGAAGCTCCTGGAGCCAATGGCTGCGGCGGGCGGGCGGCGGCGCGCGTGCGCGCTGGGTCCCGGAGCTGCGGGCGGGAGGCGGGGACGGTGGGGGAGGGGAGCGGGCTGGAGCGCGGCGGAGCTCCTGCCGCCGCCGCAGCCGCTGCCGCCGCAGCGAAGAGGCCATGTTGTGTGGTGTGTGGGGCGGGGGGAGGAGGAGGAGGGAGTAAAGCCTAGAGAGGAGACGGGAGAGAGACACCACACACACGGCACAAGATGGCCGGAGAGGCAGCAGCACCACGAGCTGTCAGGCGTTCCGCCGCGGCCGCGGGGCTCACCAGCCGGCGGGGAGCTACGCCCGGACGGCCCGCAGGCCCGTGGGAGTGGGGCGGCCGCGGCTGAGGCGAGGCGGGCCGCGCGCGTCGGCGTCAGAGCCCGCGGCAGAGGCTCCCAGGGCGGCCGGGCCCACGACGCCGAAAGCGCCGCTGCGGTTGCTGCCTCGGAGGCTTCCCTGGGCCCCGGCGGCTGGACCCGGCGCGGGCGGGAGGCTCGGGCGGGCGGTCCGGCCCGGGACTCGGACTTGGGCGACCAGGAGGTGCCGGCTGCCGCGCTCGGACCCGGTGAGTGGCTCCCCGGCTCCTTTTATTGTCCTTTGTCCTTGGGAGGAAAAGCAAAATGTCCTTGAGCGCGCGAGCAGGAGGGGGCGGCGGGCCGGGCCTCGCCGCTCAGCTCTTCTCGCACGGCCCCTCTGTGGTCGCGGGCCGGCTCTCCCCGGTGGGATGCGCCTCGGTGCCCTGGGCCCGAGTCGTGGGGTCCCGGGGTAGGGGGCATGCGGGGCCCCGCTGCAGACCCCGCGGGCGGCAGGTGGGCGGGGGGCGGCCTCGTCGCCGGGACTGGATCCGCCAGGAAAGGGGCGGCGGGTGACTGCCGGCGAGAGCCCGAAGGGGATCGGGCGTGGAGAGCCCCTTTCTGTCCTGGTGAGTTATTTTGATATTTAGGGTAAAAAAATCCCTTTCAGGTTCTCCAACGGAGGAGCTTTTTAACCTCTTTCCGGTGAGGTGGGAACTCATCTTCATGATCGAATTTAAAAGAACAATGGAACCCTGACTACGTTTCAACAAAAATAAAACTTGTTTTTTTCCCTCCTATTGGGTGTTGGCTTTTAACTCTTTCAAAGCCGATTTTGAAACGGCTGCAGTGATACATGCGAAGGTACTTGCTGCTTATTAAACCTTTATGACGTTAAGGTTGTCTTTGAAAAATGCAAGTTGGAGGAGTGCTGCTGGTATTTCAGAATTACGAAGACAAGTTTACTGTGTCGTCAAAGCTGTTTAATGGAAATAGATTTGATAATTATGGTGCTAGCTGATGACGTTTGGTTAATGTAGTTTATTTTACCGAGTAATTACGCCAAGATCATTTGATCTCCTGATGTTTAAATATGATTAAATGCACTGTTTGGTACTTTTTGAAAAGGTCACAAGGCGCCGTTATCTGTAACTTCTCACACCTGAATGTTAGAACGTAGTTGGGTCAATTCCTAGTCAAAAGTTCGTAATTTAATTTTTTTGAGAATGTATATTATCACAAGCCGTGATGGAAAAACTTTCACAAAAGAACATTCTGACACCAAATCTCTTCCTGAAGTTACTTTCTCGTAATGTAAATATGAATAAAGTAGGACTGCTCTCGGTAATGGGCGATGAAGAGGAGCCATATTTGTTGCATTTGTTGCATGTATAAAAATCTAGATATGCTTAAAACGGAGCAGTATTTTAAAAGTACAGGTTTCATAAAATTTAGTAGAGTTCTGTGTATAGTCTCTAATCTTAAAAAAAATGTTTGAAGGGTAATTTTGAAGTGTAGTGGTTTGAAGAACAAACTAGAAGCGCACAAACCTTTGTGTATTTTAGAATATATTTGTCTTCCTTCTGCGGAGCTCTTGTGTTATAAAGGTGCAGAACTACGTAAAAATAGTGTTGGGCAGACTTACATAGTACATCTGAAATCAGATACTGGTTTATTCGACCATATTTCTAAGGGCATTTTTCCAGTAAAATTGTTTTGTTTTTTGAGTAGCCTTCCTATAATGGTACATGTTACATCAATTGCGCATATCTTGATTTTACAGAATCTGTTTTAAGTACCAATTTTGGTTTTTCAAATCAATGTTTCCGAAATTTTTGGGCACTGAAAGTGGTTTTAAATGGATATTCTGAATCTAGTTCTTTAGAATCCTCTTTGAATTGTGAAATGCAAAATAATTGCTAGCAGTTTAACCTGAAAGATCCTTTTACGTGATAAATGGGGGAGGAGAAAGACTGAAATGAAAATGTTCAAGACCCTGGTTTGAAATTGAGTAAAGGTCTAGATACTGTAAGTTTTAGAATAGCTTTAAAGACAAAGCTAATATCCCACTTGGTGAGATCAAGTAACTTGTGATTTAAAATTTAAAGTAACCAGTGGCCATTTTAAATTCACTAATTTCTCTTGGAGGAGCTAATTTCTAATTGCTCATAATTGTAAAAGATATTTCTGGATGGTAAGGGAGATACTAAGATGATTTGTCTTGAAGAATGGTAAACTTTTTCTTTGTTTATTGCCTGTCATAAAAAGAGGGAAAGTAAAAAAAAAAAAAAAAAGGTTCGTAATCTTAAATCAGTCCAAAAATTTGAATTTTCTGTATTTCTGTTTAATTCAATGTGTTAATCTTTAGTATTGGTCAATACAGCCAAAAGATGAGGAAAACAAAGACTGATAGATACTAAGATAAATAACTGCAACCATAAATGTACAGGTTGTGTGTCGATGAGCCGTCTCTTCAATTTACCCATAGATTTTTGTCTGTGGAATATTTTCTTGTTTCATCACACTGAATCGTTGGCCAAGAAATGTTTAAAATTCAAAACATTAATACCATCTTTCTTCTTTTTTTTAAAGGTGACTTAGAGATTAAAATTAATTTGGTTGCTGATGGTTCTGAACAAATAGAGTTCTTTTATTTGAGGTAAGACTGGGTTTTTATTGTTTCGACAAAAATTAGCTTATTAAGTTTTTGTTTTATTCTTTAATAATTTACATTTCAATTAATCAGTGAATGGTATCATTTAAAAAAGTGATTATGAATATGAGTAAACTATCTGAAATAATTTGACAAAGACTTTAAGCCTTTTCACTGCAGGAAAGATTAAAAGCATATATGCATAGGCATTGTAACTTAACATACCCTTTGAATAGTTTAAAATACTGAAGGGTCCTTTAAGCCTTGTTTAATTTTGGGAACAAGAGAAGACTGATTAGATTTGGAGGAAAACCATGAACCACAGATAGCTTTTTTTCTGTTTAACTCTATATACTGTGCAAACAATTTTAATCTTTTAAGTATTTAAAGAAATAAGCTTACTGGAGAATTTGAACTAGTTTGCTGTTCATACTAACAGATTTTAGGGAAGAATGTTTAAAAAATCAGGTTTTGAGCATAGATTTTAAGTTTCTTTTTTGTAATTAAAAAGTTTAAAAACACTTAGTTTTACTTGCTATTGTTTGCTTCATAAGTAAGTTTAGAATCTTTGTTTTCACCAAAAGGTATGCCATTTTGAAGACTGAGACGTTGGAGTTTTATCCTTGAGGATAAAAGAAATCTTTGGGAAAGTCAGTATTTTATATAGCAAGTAAGTAAATGTTTTTACGCAACATCTGCAATTGAATAGTTACCAACATTTAAGTGAAAAATATCACTAAAGTTTGTTAATGAAACAAACTGTAGACTGTTTATTCACTGAAAGGATGAGAAAACCATCAAATTCTTTTGCCTGACATTGAAACACTTCTGTTACTATTAAGACAGTCGATGCATGTAATTTATATTGGAGCAGGAAGACATTTAGTACTGCTTAATAAAATGGTGCTTTAGGATTGTGGTTAAATCTGCAGTAGAGTCATCAAGATTATGTTTTTACAAATCTGGTATATACAATCTTCAGCCTTTTTTTTTTTTTTGATTGTACAGATCACATTTTAGGAATGGTCTGGAATTTTGCATTTGCTGATCGTAGGATTCTTAACTACATTTCAAAAACTAAATAGTTTCATAACTTAGTCATTTAATAGATTTAAAATATTCATTTTACTTGTTTTCATGAGTTTTCAGACAGGTCCAAAAATGTGGTATTTTCTAGGAAATTAGAGTTAATACATATAAAGAGTCCTCTAACTTAATTGCTTAGTAATTGCTTTTAAAGCATAAAAGGTAGAAATAATTTTCACATGCAATAGGTATTGGGCCTCCAGCATACCATGTATATCACATTTTGAAATCTTAAAGCTAGATATGTGAATTTAAAAAATGTCCACGGATATTTTTAAGGAAATATGCCTTTTTTAGAAGTTAACGTTGAATCTGAAAATTAATGTCAAGCTGTTGTTAGTGATTGACTAGAGGAAATACGCGGTATAATAATGGGTATCTTGGGAAATTTTAAGAATTGCCAAATGACCAATTAAAATAAGGGCAAGTTTACTTTTCTTCAAAATTTATGTGGAAAATAAAATAGTCTTTCAATGCTTGATGTTGCCTTATTCTATTGATTGAAATAGGTGATAAGAGGAATATTTTTATTGCCTTTGCTTCAGCTTTTGAGTCCTTTTTTGCAGTTCGATCAAATTTGGGTGTATTACAGTGTGCAAGAGAAAACTAAATGTTTGACTTTTAACTGTAGTGTTATAAAGATACAACATTTACAAGAACAGTTGAAACATCCTTCACTTCAAAACTTTAACACAAATGCCAAGTTTAGGGTTTCCTCTGTGCAATTGATGTGATATTAAATTGACATTCCTGTCATTGGGCACTGTTATGGAAATTAAGAAATGGGTCTCTTATGTGAAGCATAATCTTTGTTTAAGTATAAACAGGCAATACATTTATAATGGCCTATGGAAGGTGTAATTTGATTAATAAAAAAACAGCTAGAAAGGGCTAGAAATGTTGAATCAAAGATCCACATGTACTTAGATCTTTGTTAGTGCTTATATTCAGTGTTTTGATATTTACTGCTTGAGACGGTCTTGTATAGTGAACATAATTGATTGGCACATGAAGTCAAATGTAAATGTAGATTATTATAGATAGATAATATTAGATAAATATAGTGGATCCTGTAGATGTGATATTAAAGTACTGTATTTTGTAAGGAGGGTGGATTATTAGTTATTTACCACTGTTTTCTGCTTAAGAACCAGAGTGGTGCTTACATATTTGTTTCTACTCTAGCATTTTGGGATAATTCTTGAATCATAAAAATCTGATCAACTTTGTGATTGAATTGGATTGCATTAGTTCTGATAAAAACTGTTTAAAAAATTACCTGACATTCTATAGAAATGAAAGGAGCCATGCTGTGTAATCATAAGGCTTTCATGACATGACATGACATTTATAGATTATATAAAATAGGTAATTTCAAATGTAAATTTTCTTTTAAGTTTTATTTACTATTATTCATCTTTTTTTTATTATTTAAAAATTTGTACTATGGACAACTAATTTTACTTTTTATCCACTGAGATTTGATTGTGGAGTGGCATAAGGGGGAGAAAGATAGTTGAGGACATCTCTTTATCTTTTGTTAATCAGAAGTGGTGATAGAGTGGAAAATATAACACGTTTCAGCAATCAGGAGACCTACCTTCTAATGTAAATAAGCCTTGCAGTCTTGACATTTTGTTCCTTTTGTACCTTCATCTCACAATTTGTATGAAGACTTTAGAGTTCCAAGCTTTTAAGATCCCTATTAGCTATCAAATTGTGGGATAAAAAAAATTGTTTAGCATGCCTAATTCTCTTATACAAACTTTGTAAATTGATTTCAGAGAAGCAATTAAGGAATTAATACTGTCTTTAAACACTGTTTAGAATGCTTCAATAAAAGCATTTTAAAAATTTTTCTAATGATGTAGTAAATGTATTTAATATAAAGTTAAGTGGTTTTAATATTTTTCACCTGGCCGTGATCATGTTATAAATAAGAGGATTTATAGTTTTCATGCCTGATATAATCTATTTAATTTCCGTTACAAAATTTTTGTACATCAAAGATAAATATCTTCATTTTACCAGCTACCTCCTTCCAGATTGAATGCTTCAGTGTACTTTGATTTTCAAATTGACTATTTTTTTTAATGTAATTAACCTTTACAATTTAAATTGAAGGATATTCTGATCCTTAGGTTATAAATATATGACTTGATGGTTTATGTAACATTCAGGTAGCATGTTTTCTATAACAATATGATAAAAGTTTTGATATATACCTTGTATGTTTCTTGACATATCTGTGTTTTAGAAAACATTCCTCTGCCTTTTAAAACGAAGCTATGTATTTGAAATTATTTCCCAAACAATTATATCTTTAGCGTGTACTACATAGTAATCATAGTCATTTTAATTTAGATTATAAAGTTATATTTTAACTTTGAGGTTTGTGAATTTTCTTAGACATATTAATGACTTTATAGTTAATGGTGCTCTCAGGTTTTATTTTTAAGTTAAAAATTGGCCAGGCGTGGTGGCTTACGCTTATAATCTTAGCACTCTGGGAGGCCGAGGCAGGCGGATCACCTGAGGTCAGGAATTCGAGACCAGCCCGGCCAACATAGTGAAATCCCGATCTCTACTAAAAATACAAAAAAAAAAAAAAAAAAAAATTTAGCTGGGCGTGGTGGCACGCGCCTGTAGTCCCAGCTACTTGGGAGGCTGAGGCAGGAGAATCGCCTGAACCTGGGAGGCGGAGGTTGCAGTGAGCTGAGATCCACACTACTACTGCACTCCAGCCTGGGCGACAGAGTGAGACTCTGTCTCAAAAAAAAAAAAAAAAAAAAAAAAGTAAAAATATTGTTTTAAAAACCAAGTTTCCTAAGAAAAGCATAAATGACTACTAATAAGACAGTTGACTAAAGCTGTCCTTACCGTTTAAAAGAACAACCAAAATATATATATTATACCTGTAAGTTATTAAATCTGAAACTATGATATTACGAAATAGGATAGGTGGGAATATGAGCAAAATCATCAACTTTGATAGTCTGCCTAAGCCGAATTTTGCTCCCTTCTCCCCTCTTTGCAAGGATGGCAAAGTGATTTTAGAATTTGTCAATTTTGGTTGTTAGTAATTTTTGTGAGTGATGCATGGGGAAGGAGATGCTATGGTAGATTACGTTAGTGTCAGTAATTTTTGTGATGATGCAAAGTGAGATATGTTTTCTGTCTTTGGTGGTATGAGAACCCTATCTACTGGTAGATAACTTATTTATAAGCTCATCAGAGCAGTGTGAGGGATTTCCCTTAGACATTTCTTTTACCAAGATTCCTTAAGTCAATTCTACCCTGCTTTTAAGGGTTTACTTGGTTTACGATTTGTCTTTCTTCACAAAACCTTCTGTTACTTAAAAGATCAGATTAAATTTGGAAGATTAGAAATATATTGTGTTCCTTTTAAATTGCTTCCTTTGTCAATTTCTTGGGAAGATAATTTAGCACCTACTCTTAGAGTAATTTTGAAGCAGATCTTTGCTATATTTCTTGATTATGATCTGTCTGAATGACTAAAGGAATTTAGATTTGGGAAGATAAACAGGGACTTGCTCTATAAATTTGAAAATTAGTTCTAAAAAAGCATTTGGGTAGTGTAAAGTAAATTCTAATCTTTATTTCCTTCTAAAAACCTTAAATTGCTACATTTTGTTTTTCTTTTTGTTTTTGGAGATGGGAGTCTTGCTCTGTTGCCCAGGCTGCTGGAGTGCAGTGGTGTGATCTCAGCTCGCAGCAACCTCCGCCTCCCGTTTTCAAGTGATTATCCTATCTCAGCCTCCTGAGTAGCTGGAATTACAGGCGTGCATCACCACATCCGGCTAAGTTTTGTATTTTTAATAGAACTGGGGTTTCACCATTGTTAGCCAGGCTGGTCTTGAACTCCTGACTTCAGGTGATCCACCCAGCTTGGACTCCCAAAAGTACTGGAATTACAGGTGTGAGCCACTGTACCCAGCCCTTTTTCATACTGAACTTTTAAATAAGTTTTCTTTTTGGGGGTGGGATGATTATTGTAATCATACTTGGGAACAGGAGTGATGAGAAAAGTATGTAAGTTACTTGAGGTATGGGAAACGCTGTTTTCCATGTTTAGTTATGAGGTATTTAAGTCTGACTAGTGGAAAGTATGGATACATTTTATTTATTTTTTGAGACGGAGTCTCGCTCTGTTGCTCAGGCTGGAGTGCAGTGATGCGATCTCAGCTCACTGCAACTTCTGCCTCCCGATCTCAGCTCACTGCAACTTCTGCCTCCCGGGTTCAAGTGATTTCCGGCTAATTTTTGTATTTTTAGTAGAGACGGAGTTTGACCATGTTGGCCAGGCTGGTCTCAAACACCTGACCTCAAGTGATCTGCCTGCCTCCACCTCCCAAAGTGCTGGGATTACAGGCGTAAGCCACCGGGCCTGGCTGGATAAATTTTTATTATCAAGCATATATTTTAGGAATGATTAGTGTTGGTTTAGTTGAGTAGATTGGTACAATTAGTTTGAAATGATGCCTATAGTTTCCTATAATTTTGTCTTAGTGTTGATTAAAGACATAAAAATGTGAAATAATATGGTAATACTAAGGAATGAGAACGTGGCCTTACAGGTGGGCAATGTAAGCTTTCCTGTAGAAGAATTGAAAGTAAATAGATGTAGGACTAGAAAGTGAAACAATTCTGTACTGTAGGAGCGATGTTGACTCTGTTAAATAACTAGTTCCCAACCATCAGATCCACCTGGGGAGCCCAAATATTTACCTGCGTTTTTGGAGTTCTTAGGGGCTGAAACTTATGCTTGCGATTTTGTAGTAACATTCTACAGAGGAGACTCTTGTACAGCCAAAATCGTGATACTCAAGAGCTTGTATGTTTTCTGCTTGGACTATATTGTTAATAAATGCATACATCTTTTGGTCTATTGGCAGATGATCCTTGCAAGATGTTGACATTTTGGGTATAAATCATGGTGCTTAATAATCTGTTTTCTTTTTTTATGTATAAAATTAAATTCTTTTTTGTCCTCTGCAGAAATAATGAACCTCAAACTGAATCCTCTAAAGGCCCCATACAATGAAGTAGACATTGGTGGAAGCATTTAGTAAGTATTACTCAATTTACATGTTTAATCTGTTTAAAAAGTTTAAATATTACTTTGGAAATTTTGAAAATTCGAGTCAGAGTTGTAAATAGAGGGATTTAGTGAAACAACACAGTACAAGAAAATCAACATGGAGATTTTGCTTATTAATTTACTCCAATCTATTATTTTCTGCTTTCTTCACCTAGGCGAGTTAAAATGCAAACAACCCACATTTGAATATACCTCTAACACTATTACGAACGTGGATGTTGATAAATGGTTCCTCTTTGTTTTTGTAAATAAAGTTTTATTGCAACACAGCTATACTCTTTCATTTAGTTATTGTTTGCAGCTGCTTTCTCAGTATAGCAGCAGCAAGCAGAGGAGTTGTATTGAATGGCCACAAAGCCTAAAGTATTTCCTGTTTCATCTATAGGGAAAGTTTATCCTAGGTCCTACAGCTATTCCTTTTGTTAAGCATTGCCTTAACCTGTATAGAACTCAGAAGCCCTTGGGTTCTCTTTTGGTAATAGAACATAATCTTTAATGATTTCCAATATTATAATTACTTCTAATTAATTAATTTGGAAGTTAAACTTGAAAGCCCAACAAAAAGTTCTTTAGCCTGATTGTCCCTGAAGTTATGCTTTGATGTTAGAAGACATGGTTACTACCTCTGGAATAGTTTTTCTAACTGACAGCCTGAAAAATAGTTGGAAAGAGTTGATGGGAAGGTTGTATAAATGAATTTTGGTGAATTCTCAACATTATTTTTTATTATTATATTTTTTGAGACAGAGTCCCACTGTCACCCAGGCTAGAGTGCAGTGGCATGATCTTGGCTCAGCACAACCTCCGCCTCCAGGCCTGAAGCGATTCCTCTGCTTCAGCCTCCAGTGTAGCTGGGATTACAGTCATACCACCACCATGCCCAGCTAATTTTTGTATTTTTAGTAGAGATGTGGTTTCACCATGTTGGCCAGGCTGGTCTTGAACTCCTGACCTCAGGTGATCCGCCCACCTCAGCCTCCCAAAGTGCTAGGATTATAGATGTGAGCCACCATGCCTGGCCAACATGATTTATTATTGACAACCTTTTTGGTAATGATATATTAGCTACTTCATAAAAATACTTTTTTTTGAATCACATTTGGGAATCTAAATTTTAGATGATAATTTTTGCCTATGGCTACTTTAGCTTGCATTGTGTAAATGGCTACTAGGGCCTGCAAAAATACTTTTGGAGGGGGATTTGTTTTTTGATACGGGATGATGAAAGAGATGAAAACTTTTCTAATATAGTACAATTATTGGCTGTGGTCATTTTAAAGAGATCAGTTGCCTGGCAAATAGTGGATGCTCAATAAATACTTAGTGTATCAATACAGCTTCTGCTAAACATTTTTTCTCAGCTAGTGTTTGGGTTTAATTTAAAAACAGACATTCACGATTAAAACAAGTTTTAATGAATTAATAAATATTAAATTTTAGGCATGCCTGAAAGGCAAAATTTTGACTAAGTAAAAATTAAAAGTGACAAGATTTCATTTTTTCTCTGCAATTCTCCATCTCTTAGTTTGCATATATAGTCAAGTTTTAAACCAATGAGAACAGTACGGAATATTTGATTTGATTGTAAACCTTAAATAAGATGACTCCTTTTCTTAGTTGTCATAATGACATTCATTTTATAGTTAGTTTTTATGCCGATAAGACCAAGATTCAAGGTTATCTTGGTAATAGGACAACATATGTGAATTTACTGCTCAGGACTTTCTTTTTTTTTGTCCCAAGAGGGAGTTTCACTCTTGTTGCACAGGCTGGAGTGTAGTGGTGCCATCTCAGCTCACTGCAACCCCCCACCTCCCAGGTTCAATTGATTCTCCTGCTTCAGCCTCCCGAGTGGCTGGGATTATAGGCGTTTGCCACCACGCCCAGCTAAATTTTGTGTTTTTAGTAGAGATGGAGTTTCACCATGTTGGCCAGGCTGACCTCGAACTCCTGACCTCAGGTGTTCGAACTCCCGACCTCCGACTCCGAACTCCCGGCCTCTGCTCGGCCTCCCTAAGTAATTGGATTACAGATGTGAGTCACTGTGCCTAGCCTCTCAGGGCTTTCTTACATAAATATTTTCACATTTAAAGATAGATGAAGAAGATTGAAATCATCATAAGCAGCAAGAATGTTAGTTACATGAGGAGAAGGATGAATTTTTGCTCTAGGTAATTTTACAACTGTTTGTCCCATCATTGGCTTTGAAATAAGTGTTTAGGTTTTAAAATAATTTGTTACATTAATAATAGTAGCTTTATGATAGTCATCCATTAAGACAATTAGGAGTCACTAATTTCTTTTTCTTTATACTACTCTCTGTCCTCCCACCCCATTTTTCTTTGCTATTAAAAATGGGAAAATTTGCTGAGAAGTAGAGGAAAGGAGATGGTTTATTTTAGGGGAGCCCTCCTAAACCCAATCCAGATGGTGAATCACTACCTGTGTATCTACCAACAATGTATTTTATCATGTCCCAGTGTTTTTGGAACAAATTTACTAAAGTAGAATTTAAAAAGAATACCAGGCCAGGCGTGTGGTGGCTCAGGCCTGTTATCCCAGCACTTTAGGGAGGCTGAGGCAGGTGCATCACAAGGTCAGGAGTTCGAGACCAGCCTGGCCCACATAATGAAACCCCGTCTCCACTAAAATTACAAAAATTAGACAGGCATGGTGGTGTGTGCCTGTAGTCCCAGCTACGCGGGAGGCCGAGGCAGGAGAATCGGTTGAACCCAGGAGGTGCAGGTTGCGGTGAACCGAGACGGCGCCACCGCACCCCAGTCTGAGGAACAGAGGGACTCCATCTCAAAAAAATAAAAAATAAAAAATAAAACCTTAGTTGGGTGCAGAGGCATATACTTGTGTTCTCAGCTATTGAGAAAGCTGAGGTGGGAATCTCTCTTCCACTCAGGAGTTTGAAACCAGCCTGGGCAACGTAGTGAGACCTCCATCTTAAAAAATAATTAAAAATACAGTGAAGAGAAGACCTCCATGTTCTACTTTATGTTCTTCTGGATGTATGATATGTGGGAATTTTAAGGGGTAGTAGTTACTCACTGAAGCTTTGTTGCCATTTAAGTTTTTACCTTTGCTGTGGGAATGGTACTCTTAGAACATGCACATTATTTTAAAAAGAAAGTATAGACTAGTGAATATCAAAGGGGAAAAATTTTTAATCATTTATATTATAAGCTTGAAGGTTATATGTGAAATATAGAAAAGATCTAGGTTTGTCTGATGGAGTTCTAGATCAAAACATCTCTTCCATGTCTGCAGTAATTCACAAGTTACTGGAAAGGAATGCGTAGAGGGCTTTGATATCTAAACTCTACCCAGTTTTCTGTAGAATTTTGATTTTAATGCAAGACTGCTGACCCCATGATCCTGTATGTTCTTCAGAGATACTCTTACTAATGATACATAAATGAACTTTGATTCAGTAAGGTCAGTTTGTAGGTCTCAAAATACTTTGGTTATTGTGGTATATCAGAATAATAGCTAACATTTACTGAGATCTTTCTATATGTCAGGTAATATAAGTCCTATATAAGTATTCTTTCTACAGCTACAAGAGGTAGGTACTATTTTTATTTTACAGATGAAGAACTGTGGATTTTGTTTCTGAGAGAATTTCCAGGCTCATAGAACTAAGCCTGATTTCTTTTTTGTATTTTTTAGCATAACTTTGCTTATTTGCAAATAAAGTTTTTATAAGAATTTGAATTCTATGAAAATAAATGGATTACTCCTAAATCTCTGATGCTTCAGTGAACACTTTTCCTTATTAACAAAATTCTCACTTTTGGCTTTGGATTGGCTTTGCAGGAGTGCAGATTGATCATAGCTTTTTTCATGTCCTTAAAGTTGTCAGAGTTTTCTCTTGAGGCATTCTTTTCTTTACTTTTTTTTTTTTTACTATCTTTAAATATATGACTGTGAGAGCATGATAAATATGCTATTTTCTAATCTCTGCTGTTGTCACATAAACCAATGTATTTTATTAATTTTGAAATACTAATGTCATTAGATTTTCTTTTGATTTTTTTTTTAAAAAAATAATGGATTTAGAAGGAAATCTGGATAAATTTTATCTGTCTTGTGTCAAAAACATAAAACTTGAGTTTTTAAATTAAGGTACTAAGATGAATAAATTGCATCTACAGATATCAAAATATGACTAATTTGATATTAATGCATTCTCAGTGTCATCGTTCATCATAATAGTATTTACATCACCAACTTCATTTAGAGCTTGAACCTTGTAACAATAGAGATTGAAAAGAAATTGGGTTGTAATTAACTGTTTGACAGAGAATGATGTTTTTACTTTTATACTTCTCTAATAGAAGTACATGTCCCTTAATTTTAAGGAATGAACAAGTCAGATGGAAGATATTTTACTGAGATCAGGAATGAATTGAGTAATTTAGTTTTCTTTTTAAAGCTGGGGAGAAATGAGCAAGATCAATTAAGGAGAAATATCTTGCTTTTGATATTTATTACTGATGCTGTGACACTCCCTTTAATCAATGTTTTTTTAATATGGGTGGCAGTATCTCGGTTAACCAAATAGTTAAATAGGTAGATTTTTGTATTGTGTGTAGTAAACAGTATATCCTAATTATTGCCAAGGAGATGAGGAAATTACCTAATGGGCTAAAATGCCCTTAAATTTACCTCAAATTCAGTCACCCTTGACTGTATCTCCACAAATTCAGTTGGAGAGCTGGAAAATTTATAGAGTAGGCCAGGGTTTAAATCTTGTTTTTTCAAATTATGTTTGGTCATGATGAATCTGAATCATTTATTTAATGGTAAAATCATCTGACTTCTCACTTCTCCCTTCAGTTCAAATCATTTAAGTAATGGATTTATTTTTGTGTGAGACATTTGGTATTTTGGTAATGAGAGAGTATTATTTTAGTTGCATATAATTTGAAAACTGATAGCATTTTATGGCAGATCTATCAAGCCAGGCAGATATTTTGCATTTTTGATTTTTTTTTTTTTTTGGTGGCTACATCTTTTCTGTATTCAGATATGTAGTTAAAGATGGTGTCACCTATAGTGGCCATTTCATTATCTAAACAAAATCAACATCTGTTGGATTGAAAAACTATGCTATGATCGACTGCTTTATGTGTGTGTGTGTGTGTGTGTGTGTGTGTGTGTTTTAAAAATCCCTTAAGATTCTTTTCTATAATTAGTTTTCTTTGAAGAAGCTTGGAAAGTTTTCTGCATTGAGATTTAGAATCCACAGTGTTTCTGTAATTTAGCTTTCCAGGAATTTTGAATTTTAATTTTTGTTTTTACTTTTTATGTACACAGTATAATGATGTTAGTGTTAAATATTAAAAATCTGACTCTTCACTGGGACCTTTTTATAGATACTAATGTAATCTGTGGTAGTACAAGGACTTTGTTACTTTGGTGTGTAGTCTTATGGAGGAATTGTGTGTGTGTTTTGCATACAACTTTAATATACGGTTTCATAGTTGAAAGCTGTTACAAAATTAAAGTTTTGTGTATGGTAGGATATCTTCAAGGTGGGTGGCTGTTTTCTGTTTAAAAGATTAAGATTCCAACAGCATTTTTTTCTTTTAATTTTTTCATCAAGCACCCAGTCAGCTTGAAGAGTTTCAAATGGACCCTACCACTGAGAAATCAAGATGGCAGTCTACTATGGGGAATTGAGAAAAATGGATTAATACAAGAGTCCTGTGATAATACACAACCAAGACAGGGTTCTTTTAACATGGATTCCATGCAGTGAATGAAGACATAGGTTTCTTATCCAACACAAATGGACAGTGGATTTGACTTTCTAAAGACTTTTTTTTGTGAACATTTTGACTTTGGAGAAGAAGGATGGCACACTAACACAGATAATAGTTTTTATGCCTGGAATTTTTTGTAGTTTGATTTGTATGAGTATGACCTCTTGGAATGTTAACTTCAATAAAATTTATAACACTTTAAAATTTCTCAGTTTGGGTTTTTTTTTTTTTTAAGTGGAAATTTCATTAAATGTTTACTTTTATTTTAGTAATACTTTGACCTTTATAGTTGCCAAGTGGTAAAGTGTACTGAATAAAGCTGGTAAATTGGAAATGGTGTAATCAAAAACATTTTACTTGGTTTATGAAGATTTATCATTTTTCACAAAGTTGTGCTCTTAGGTGGTCATTTGGTTTAAATACTGTTTTGTTTGTGCTTTCATGAAACACCTTTCAAAACAACTCAATGGGTAATAAGAGAATCTGATTTTAATCTGCCACAAGATTTTAATGAACTTGAAACAAACTGCTTGTTGCTCCAAAATTCAGAATGAGTGATACACATATACTTCTGAATTATTTTGTGTTGATTGAAATGGTTTCTTAAGCTTTTTAATACTATAAATACATCTTGCTATAGAATATTCATCTGAATATTTAAACTGATGTCTCCTATTGTCTTACTATAAGAAGTGTTGGATTTATGGGTTAGGGTCCTTGGAGTATTCACAATTTTTTACATTCATAATTATGTGTGTAATCCATTTTATATAACTTTGAAGTAAGATTAATATCTTGTATTGTCTTTATTTTGTACAATTGGGAATTTAGATTAAATGAACTGCACCCTGCCATAGATTACTTAACGTTTGATTTTTAAATGCCAGGTTTTCATTTATTACTAATCAACTGATACCAGTTTTGGTAACTATTACAAAGGTGGTAGGTGTTATTTTGATAGACAAAATGAGTTGTTGATTCTGTTTTCCCATTTTACATGAGACGAAGAAATAGTTCAGGTTAAATTGTTTTGTGTTAATCATATTGTTTGTGATTAATGTCAAATACTGCAGCATACACATCCATGGTCAATACACGTGCACCATTTGTTATTGACTGATGTGAGGTGGTTGGTCTTTGTTACATTCAAAAACGGAATTTTGGATTTTGATCTTGGTACAAAATTTATCTTTGTGTAGAGAGTATGGAATTGAAACAGTTTGGATTATGGATTTTACCTAGATTGGACATTGTCGCTTTTGTTTGGTGTAAATCTAAAATGGATTTCTTCAGTGAGGGAGGGACATGGTTCTGGCAGAAAGGAAAGCTGATTGGATTTTTTTGGGTGTATGAATATGCTTGTCTGAATGGAGTGCTTGGTGAGAATATTGTTTTTGGAATTAGTAATTTGTTTCTGTGGATCTCATGGTCTTGATAATTAGGAGAATTTGCTTTGTGACATTAACTGTGATAATTTGCAATCAGGTATGTCCTATTGTTAATAACATTGTTGAAATGGGTGTGTATACTTGATTTGAAATACAAGGGAAGTGTTGGAGTATGTGTTTTCTGTTGGATTTGGAAGTGGAGTTTCTGGGGTTACTGATTTAAAGGTGATCATGGTTGGCCCATACTCTTGAATTTAAAGATACTTGTTTTGCCTGAATCAGTGTGGGAAGTAAATATATTGTGATTATGAGAAGTTTCTTTGGGAGGAGGAGTGTAATATTTTCAAAGTTATAGAATGGGTTAAAGAATTTTGTGAAAGAACAAAGAAAAATGGATATTTTTGAGTAAAAATTGGTTGCATTAACTTTTGCTCCAATGCAACTGAACACTAGGGAGGCGCTCTTGAGTTGTAAAAATTACCCCTTTCTTCCAGTTGAGATGGAAAATTCCCCCTTAAATTTTGTCTTTAGATTATTTTTAGGCATCATAAAGAAGGAAAAGCTTGAATTTAGTTTATGAAATTAAGGTTTTACTTTTATTTAGCAATCATTTTACCCATTGGGGGATTAATTTTTACAAAGATTAGTACTTAAGCTGAGCTTTAGATTCTCTAAGAATTATCCCTTTTTCAAAATGGCTTGATAAAACACCACTTCCTGTCCAGGGAGGAAGTTATTTTAGCTCAAGGACTGAAATATTTAGCAGATCTTTAGACAAAAGGAACAAATTACATTTCTCTCTGGCTTAAAAAGGGTGCTTGAGCCAGAGGGGGTTAAGAAGCCCTCCCTCCTCCCCCTGTTGGGGTGGTCTGGAGGGGCAGGGAGGTGTGGGGGTGGGGGTCCTTAGGCTCCCTGGGATGGAGGATCTCTCTCTCTCTCTCTCTCTCTCTCTTTTTTTTTTTTTGGTGGAGATGAAGGGGTGGGTCTATGGTACATCACCTGAGTTGTGGGGTAAATGTAGAGAGTGTCAATCAAAGGCAGAGCTCTCAGAGCTGGGAAGGAGGCTCTAGATGGCGGCTGTGCCTTAGAGAGAGCGCGCTCTGCTCCCTGCCTTTGCCTCACTTTACGCAACTTTCCCTAACTTTCGGGCAGCCTCAGGGGGCCCCCGTAGCCCCCTGCCTTTCCTAGTGACTTACTGGGGTCGATTCGAACCTTTTTTTGGGAGAAAAGCAGCTTTTAGGAGCTTTCTTTTCGTGCCTTGTTGGAAAGAAGCAGCCGTACTGAGAGCCCAGGTCGTTGTTTTTTCCAGCTTAGAAGCCATGGCGCACCTCCATTTTTGTGCGCTCTCCTAATGAGGTTTTTTTTCTTTCGGACCTGTTTTAGTATTAATTATTGCTTTATTTTTTTGACCAGTTAACATATTTGAGGGTTATTTTATTTATTTTTCGTTTTTTAACGGAGGATTTTGCCTTTATTTTTAATTATCTGGGATCTGATATTTTTCTACTAGTAGATAGGACTCTTGCTTTGGACATACTACATGGATCAGGTAAGTTCACGATCATTGGTGATAATTTTAAAGATTTATTTGTTAAAGTTTGCCTTGTTTTCTGTAAATACGAGAAATTCTTGGATGACGCAATAAGATACAGAGATTGTTATTTGTATCGAGTGTGCTACTTTGAGAAAGTTTCCTTATTGATAGTGATGCTTCCACTGTTCGGTTTATCCTGTTGTTTTTTCTTTTAAGGAAAAAATAGAAATATTTAGTTTTTTGGTGCTTACCGTTGTTGTATTATAACAATATCGTTAACATCGTCAGGACTTTGTTCCTGATAATAAAAAGCATCGATAGAAGCCGGGACCTTACCTTTCTTTCAACTTTTGACAGTAAATACCTGGGCACAGGACTTCAAAGCAAACACAGATTCCCCCTCCCCCTTAATATTTAAGAATTAAAAGATGATGAGAAATAAGGACAAAAGCCAAGAGGAGGACAGTTCGCTACACAGCAATGCATCGAGGTATGAGCTATCAACTTTCTTCCTTTTTGTCTTTTTTTTTGGGGGAGAAACCTCAGCTTACAATTGTTTACCTTGACAGACATGGATTGCTGTCTGTTTTATTGTGTTTTTCTAATTTGGATTCGTTTTTTAAAGCATGACCTTGAGATTGCTAATATGCCACACCCTAATTTTTTGGTAGCAATTTATGAAAGTTGAGTTGTGACTTAAGGCCTCTTACAGCAGTCAAAAGGTAAGGTACCTTTATTCAAAGGGGCCTTTCCTGTAATGTACAGTTTTTCTGTCAGTAAATTTCAGTTTTTAGGTTTTTGTACTGCAGAAAAATGACCTTGTCGGTTTAGCCATTGCTGCATTGCACCATTTTACATACAAGGCAAATTTTTTCTTTGAAGAATCCAGGATATCTAAACTTGTAACTGAGGGCCATAGAGAAGCCTTGTAGTAGTAAATTATAGTAAATAGACATTTCAGAAAGTTATATGAATGAAAAAATGTACATTTAAAAACAAAATCACTTAAAGGACCCTTTGACTGATGCCTCTCAGTTTATATTTTTATGTGACTTTATATTTCTTTTGATATACTTGACATTTTAGGAAATTTTGATATGATTTATCAAAACCTTTACTTGATGGTTAGAGTTCCTGCATTTATGAAATCAAATCTGTAATAACAGAAATCCTGGAATACTCTTAATATACTTCTATTTTGTGTTTGTTATTGTGATCATATTTACAGTTGTATATTTTACATTTAAATTATTTTAAGGTTTGCATTTGTATGCTTAAGACATTGATTTCTTGTTGGTAGATGTATTTTATCCTCACATTTTAGATGTAGCTGCTTTAAATTTACTGATGTATTTTGACAGAGTCATCTGGAATGCTTTATCTTCTGAAGCTTACAAATGTACTGTTTGTGCAAATCATGATTTGTTTCACATTCCTTGGAGTACCTTATTAGTGATGAAGTAATAAAGCCTCTAAGATGTTTTTGTTGTATGACCTCTGTATATTAATTTTAAAAAGTACATATGAATGCATTTTTTTGTGTTCTTAATGCATTTTCATATTATAAATTTTAAATCATGTAGTTTAACAAGGATGTGATTCATTATGTGATTTTCCTTCCCAATTTTCTTTTTACTTTTCTCATTTTTATAAATAATACATTCTTCTATTAGGCTAGTGAATTTGAAAGTTTTGAACATGACATATTACTAATCTGCTGAATTCTATTTATTTTATTTGACTAAAAGCATATTGAGCCTTGCTTTAGAAAATAAGTTAAATTTGTTTGCAAATTGAGTTGTCACCCAGTTTGTAGTGCTGTCTTAATTGAATTGCCCGTGTAAATTATTAGATTAAATTGAGGACAGAAAAGTTTTTTACTCATCCTAAACTGTTTTTTCTGGAAAGTAATCACAATTTGAAGAAATGAAAACCTCCAGATATATCTGGCAAATTATTAAAGATTCAGCACTAAAATTGTTGCTCCCTTGAGTGTATCATTTGCATAGGTCTCACATGGGTTTTGGCTTTCTTATGCAAGGTTTGTGGTTAACATCATTGATCAGACTGTGCTTTCTAATTTTAAAAAATTGAGCAGTGTTCGTATTCTTTCAGTATTTTTACTCTCACCTGGAAAACTACCTTGAAGTTGTCAGGCATTTGCCTCCTGGTAGTGGAGGTTACAGCTGAACATGAAGCATGTACTGACTGTACTTTTGAAATCATTTGTCAAGTGTACTTTGAATCATATACCTGATGGATTTCCAAAAATATTTAAGACACTCTTTGAAAAGAAAGTAGTTACTTTTAAATGAGTTACCCTAAATTTCATACCTTAATACATGTACATGATTATGACATCACTTCCTTTTAAAATTGTGCAGCTGAAGAATGTTACTAGTGTTTTAATGTGATAGATTAATGTTACTTCTAGTGAGCTGAACTGTCCCTGTAATTAGTACTTGGTTCCTTCTGCCATCAGAGTTTTGATTGCCCAAAGTATAGTGTTTAGGGAATACGAAAATCACCTTTGCAGCCTGAGCCACAGAAGAAGAAATGAGTTTGCAGGTCAAGTAAACTTTGGTCTGAGAATTACTTTAGGATCTGGAAGGAATGAGTGCAAGTTTAGGTAAATCTGGTAATACCCTGTTTTTGGAAATAGTGCAGTAGTTAATAGTGGTTACATAAGTTTGTATTTGAATTTGAAGTTAATGCTAAAGTCTAATACTTATCACGATTTTTGAAGATTAAAAATTAACTTTAAAAAATGCTATTTTAAAAACATTTGATATTTGTAAAATTTCTAAGTATTTAAAACAAAGTTTTAGTGATGGACATACAAGAAGTATGCCATACTTTTTATCTGAATAATTTGCAGCTCGTGGGTAACTTAAGTAACATCAAAGAATGAAAAGGGGACTGTGTGCACACAAAGAGTTCAGTGTGTTCTCTTAGGGCACCACGTTCGCAATTTATCTTCAAGAATTGAACGAGTTTATTAAATTTATCTCCAAATCGTCTGCCTTTGAGCCAGATTTTTATAACCTGAGGTACGGGTAAATCCTACAATTTTCATTGGCACTTTAGCAGTTATTCTAAAAGGCTGGGGATGATTAGACATGGCATAATGCAGTTACTTGTGTACTAGAACAGGCAGTTTAACTGGCAGCCATTTTATGACGCTGATAATACATTAAAAAACGGGATTTTGGAGAAGACTGAATCTAAACTAACTGAAATCTGAAATACCAAAACCTATTTCCTTCCCCCTCTCTGCTCTTCTGGGGAGCTCTGGTGCTGAAATAAAAGGCAGCTCGATAGTTAGGGCACGGAGCAGCTCTTTGAGCCCCTGGCATCTTGGTGCAGGTCCAGCTTAGTCACAAAATGGCTGTTCCTTTGTGCCGCAGCGCTGACAGACATACTGCATTGCACTGTGTACTCGCCAAACAGCAGGAAGTTGCCGTGCCGAGTTCAAAGGCCGGCCGGTGCCGGCGCGGGGTGCTGATTGGCTGTGCGCGCGCCTGGTAACAGCAGGGTCAACGGCGGCGCCTTCCGCAGCCCCCGCCCCGTGACGTCAGACGGCTCCCCGCGGGGGCGGGGAGAACGCAGTGACGTCTGGCCGCGTGCGCATGTCTGGCGCTTTCTCCTCCTCCTACCCAGGGAGCCGCACGCTGAGGGGAAGAGGAAGGGAACTCTAGTTGGGACTTTCCGGTGGGCGGCTACTTTCCTGGACGCGTTTGCTCCTGCAGTCGTGTCCGCGCATATCTGTAGCGGTGCGCACCCTGTAGCGTGTGTTCTTTTGCCCATTTCCGGGAATGGTTTATCGTCTTAGAAGCTGCTGCTTTTGGAGAAAAAGTACAGGCACTATTTGGAAATCTTAAAATAGAAAATTTGCCCAGTTTTACAATTTTCATTTTCCCTTTTCATACCTTAGCGTTTCTCCCTCCCCGCCCCCGTGCAGTGTGAAGAGATGAGTGGGTTTAATTTTGTTACCATTGACCAAAACGTTTGAGTGTCAGAGGCGGATACGTTTAGTGAAAACCTCTTGACGGGTGTTAACAGCTGTTTAACACATGGCTCATAAACAAAGGGAAAATTTTTTGAACTTGTCCCCGTGCATTTTTACTTGGTACCGTAGATTTTCTCAGTTGGTATTTGGTGGAGAAAAACTCAGGTCAGTATGTGTTAAATACTATATATTTAAGATTCACAGTGGGATATTTTAGTAGAAAATAGAAAATGTTACATGTTTAATAACATTAAAAAGTGGCAGAATATAGTGTTAGGCAACCATTGCTATGTAAGTAAATGTCAGAAAACTACTCTTTTAAGTGTTAATAGCCTTTGCTAATGCAGGGTGACTGACAGCTTGGCTGATAGTTGGGGTCACTTGGCCAAATCTTGAGAATTATCTTCCCTAGGTCTCCATTTCGGGAATTCTGAGTCCCCGTAAACCGTTCCGGTTTAGGCTCACTGGTTTGCCTTGTTTGGAAACCTTTGCAAGGATTTCTGGTTAAAACTTTATCGTTTAGCAACGATGTCTAATTACACATAGTGAATTCAAGCCAGCAAGAAATTCAGTGGATTTATCTACTATAGACGAAGTTTTTTTCCTCCCATACTAGAGATTTTTAGCAGTTGAAAGGAGTAGGCTGTACTGTAGTTAGCCATAGTTCAGTTATTTTATTAATTGAGTAAGGTATGTTACTTCAAAGGAGATGTTGACCTCTTCAATGCAGGTGATACTTGCTTGGGCGTATGTCAAGTTTCTGAATACAGTCTGAAAAAGTTAAAATTCACTATGATAGTGAGTTTTGTAGGTTCTCATAATCTAGATTCTTTGGGAAGAATTATTTGGGTAGTTCATGAAAACTAGGAGAAATTGCGTTTTCTGTTACAGAGAAGTGTTCATCAAATAATTTGTAACTAATTTTAAAATTATATGCTGAAACGTATGTTGCGTATAAAATACTAAACATCTTTAGAGAATTAAGTACATGTAGAACTTGACCATTGTACTGTAGCTTGCAACTTAAAAGTATACTTGGCACGAGAACAAAGGTAATCATCTCATCTCCCTTTCTGTGTAGAGACTGAATTCTAATTAGTTGTGTAATTAGTTCTAATTAGACTGAATTCTAATTTTAATATTTGCTCAATGCCCTTCAGTTCCTAAAACTGGGGTCTAAGTAGTCAACATTGCAGTTACCTATTTTTTTTTTTTAATTTTTATTTTTTGAGATGGAGTCTGGCTCTGTCACCCAGGCTGGAGTGCAGTGGCCAGATCTCAGTTCACTGCAAGCTCCGCCTCCTGTGTTTACGCCATTCTCCTGCCTCAGCCTCCCGAGTAGCTGGGACTACAGGCGCCCGCCACCTCGCCCGGCTAGTTTTTTTGTATTTTTTAGTAGAGACGGGGTTTCACCGTGTTCGCCAGGATGGTCTCGATCTCCTGACCTCGTGATCCGCCCGTCTCGGCCTCCCAAAGTGGTGGGATTACAGGCTTGAGCCACCGCGCCCGGCTGCAGTTACTTATTTTTTAAGAGGATATGAACTATTCTGTTATTTAAGATATTTTAGCCTAAATATCATTATGAGTTAAAATGCATACCGTGATATAACAATTTACCTATTAACTGTTCATAATCTTGGAGCCAATTAACTTTTTTTTAAATAACCAGTATTCTTAGGTATGTTTGTTGAGCCCTCTATTTTTTTTCCTTTGATTTGGAGAATGGCATCAAGTAGCAAGAAAAGAATGTTGATCTCTCTCTCTCTGTCTCTCTCTCTCTCTCTGTCTCTCTCTGTCTCTCTCTCTCTGTCTCTCTCTCTCTCTCTCTCTCTGTCTCTGTCTCTCTCTCTCTTCTTGCTGTTTGAAATATGCACTTTCCAACTAATATTTGGCCGTTAGGGAGTTAGTATCTTTGTAAAGAAAGATTAAGTCAGCAGAGGAAGGTGGGCAAATATTTTCGATAAGGACTTTTGGTTGTGACAGTTGTAGCAAGTTATTGCTTGACGAGTGAATCTGGAAGTTTATTTGAATTTTAACTAAAACTCACAGATTTTATCATTAGTTTACTCTCCCCTACCCCCAAATAAAACAATTGACAGTTGTGAGAGACCTCCTGAGACCACATGGTATTTCTCCCATAAAATTTGATAGACTAAGTTTGTTTCTGGCATAAAAATTGAGTGACTGCTGTGTGTCAGCCATTAAATATTTTCTTGCTGTGAGTCATCTTTTTTTTTTTTTTTTTTGAAGATCCTTTAGTTTTTAGCTTCTTTCTGGTAACCTTAGAACTTGGCTTCCTTGAAGAACTTGGTTTTCTTGAAGGGGTGTCACTTGAACAAATAAACTGAAAAAAAAAAAGAAAAAAAAATTCCTCTAAGAGTATTTTGTATACAGGTGAAAGTAACTGTTGGCTTGGTTACACTGGGTGTGTCACAGCTGAGTAAGTCCCTCCTGCACTCGAGCTTGACTAAGCATTGAGTTCAAATGTATACCTTTGCAAAGTTGCCAGTCACAACTTGTTTGGAACTTTAGGGTTTTCAGTGTAAAGCGTGAGTAACAAAACTTGACTCAGTTGTCCAGGCTGGATTGTATTTTTATTTTGTAATCAGTAATTAAGCACAATGCTGGAATGCATTACTTATATTTGTCTTATTACCCTTTTCTGCAATCAGTGGAATCTTTAAATGATAAAGCAAGACTGTGGGAAGAGACCTTTCTAAAAAAAGCTCCTATATACTGAATATATTTGAGCCTTGATTATGAAGTGAGGGACAAGGCTTTTTGTTTTGAAATAAATGATGGAGGACATAGATATGTGATAGCCATTCGTGCTACATAATTTAGCATTTTATTGTTAACATGTTTGATTATGGGTCTCGTTTTTTGGTGTTTCAAAATGTTCTGGACTGGATATCATACCGAAAAGCATTTCAATTCTCATTACTGAGTCCCTGTAGTTTGGGGACAATGTGATCACTGATCTTGAAGGACAGAATGTTACACAAGCATCCTGGTTAAGGCAGCATTGTAGGGATAGTCTGGATTTTATACTTTGAATTTAATTCTGATGAGTCATTTTGTCACTTGTATATGCTTAACTGTTACCTCCGGGCCTGGCAAGAGCTAGGTACGAGTTCAACTTTTACTTTAGTCCTGATAATTTTTGTTCCCAGTTTAGGCCAGTGAAGAAGCACTTATGATTGGACTTGTAATTTTCTCATTTTAAAAATGTAGATAATCTTCATTGGGTCATGAAGATTAAATAATATAATGCCCATAAAATGCTTAGCAAAGAGCCCATCACATTAAAATTGCTCAATCAATGTAAGCTTTTAGTAACGTTATTTTATTCTTACTATTTCATCTTACTTTCTTGCACCCCTCCTTCCTGCATGTCCTATGTTCCTCTTCAAGAGCTAGGTTGGCCCTGAGGAACTTGCTGGTTGTCTTGGCCTACCAGGTGAGATTTGTGAGAATGATTTTAGGAGGCAAGTCCCCATTTAGTCAGCTTGGATGTGTTTTACAGTTCATCCTCTCTTGGAATTTTTTCTTTTTTTTTTGAGAAGAACCAGCCTTTTGGGAGAGCATATGACTTTTCCTGGACTACAACAGCTTCTTGTGTGAATCACAGCCCTGCTTTTGCCAGTTAGTCTGAGTAGATAACTACCCCCCCCCACAAAATGGTAATTATTGCCCTGGTTTATCCTCTGTCTCATTTCCCCTCTCAAGCTGTTACAGAATGAATACTATGGTGCATTGCTCCATGGATATAAATGTAACAGCAGTAATATTTACAAGCAATGTCTAATTGGCTGTAGCTTGCTTTCAGTATTCAGTCTAAACCATAGGACTATATATTATAGCATATAGTCTTAGCATAATGCCAAACATGCAAGTCTACTTAAACTGTAGTCTTAAGATTTGTGTGTTTTGGGTTTCTTCTACTTCCTCTATTTCTTTTCCTTTTTGGGTTATGGGTCAGTTGGGTTCTACTTTTTGTTCCCATTTCAGACTATGGAGAACTAAAAATACCAGTGTCCAGCCCTGTCCCTAGGATCTAGTTAATTTTTAAAAGCTCTCCATATGTTTCAGATTTGCATGTGTTTCTGTATGTTTGCAGTATCTCCATGTGTTTTCATATCTTCTGATGGAGCACTTGTACTTAAATTCTTTTCTAATAACCTTTGGTCTTTCCATTGCCTGTCCCGTTTTTAAATTCCCTTTTTAGTCTTAATAGCTGCTTGAGTTAGGAGCTCTGGAAGCAAAGGTGGGGTAGGATGCTGAGAGGGGGAATTGTAGGCTTGATGGAAGAGGATATTTCTATATTGAATGTCATGGCAGATCCAGCTCTAGGCATACCTTTAAAATGTATACGCAGACTGGGCGTGGTGGCTCACTGCTGTAATCCCAGCAGTTTGGGAGGCCCAGGCAGGCGGATCACTTGAGGTAGGGAGTTCGAGAACCCCCTGGCCAACATGGTGAAACCCTGTCTGTACTAAAAATACAACAGTTAGCTGGGCGTGGTGGTGGGCGCCTGTAGTCCCAGCTACTCGGGAGGCTGAGGCAGGAGAATCGCCTGAACCTGGGAGGCGGAGGTTGCAGTTAGCCGAGATCACACAACACTGCACTCCAGCCTGGGAGACAGGGTGACAAAAAAAAAAAAAGAAGTAAAGAAAAAATGTGTATGCAGGTAGGCTTTCTCACCTCAAGATTTCTGAATTCCTTCTAAGTGTCTTCTAGTTGCTTTAAGCTCTTGTGGTCCCTTCCTTAGTGTACTTTTCTCCTTACATCCTTTGGATATCTTCAGAAGTTTAGATTGTAGAATTATTTACTTGGAATGCCGTTACATTCCATTCTAAACTTCCTTTCTTTTGGGTTTATAAAAACATTGGTGGGTTGTGAATTGTGACCAACATTAAAAAAATAGACTAGATTATGGTAATAAACTCTAGGGTATCCATTTGTATGGGCTGTTTCTAAGTCTAGCAGTGCCTGCTAGCTGGTAATCTTTCACTTTGGATTTTTTGTTCTTGTTGAGACAGAGTCTCACTCTGTTTTGCTGGAATTACACGTGTGAACCACCATGCCCAGCCTAGTGGTGGCATTATAGATGCCTCAGGCTGGATAATTTGTTATTGTGGGGAACTGTCTCATAAACAGTGCAG